CATGGGCGTTCATCCGGCACCCGCGTGGGGCTGCGTGGGGGAAGCCGGGTCTCAGGGTCGTCGGGGAGTGGGGAGCGCGGCACGCTTGGGTTGCACGGGGGCCGGGGAGCCAGGAGGCCCAGCGAGCTGGGAGCGCTGTGGGAGCGGGGGGCAAGGCAGCGACAGGCCGTGCACCCGGAGTCGTCTTTGTGCTGTGCCGCAGGGTGACTGTGCAGCCGGCAGCCTGGCTGGCACCGTCACAGGCAGCCCTTTGGCTCTAAAGCCACTGAGCGGCAGCTCTCAGCTACCTGTGCTTGTCCCACAATAGGAGCCCTCCTAATAATATCACGAATGTGGCGTCACGATACTCACAGCTCTTGGTGTTGTGGAAGGTTTAAGGAGCATTTCCTGTCACGAGGGTGAGCTGTGGCAGCAGTGCCTCAGGCACCCGAAAGATTGTTGCATCTCTGGGCAGGTGAGCCCAAGGGCGATACTGGGAGGGGGTGTTTTGAAGGTGGCTGGGCAGGCGGGGGAGGCCCCTAGGCCAGTTTGGCTCAGCCTGTGTAGTCCTTGTCCCAGCCCTGGTGGCTTTAGCAGATGTGCTGCATACTGTGGCTTCAGGAGCTCCCAGTTGTTTTCCTACTTCTGCAGAGCAGAGTCCAAGTCAGGAAGAGAAGGAGAATGGGAAAACCACCTGCCTAGCCAGGCTGCCATCTCTCCAACACCAGAGCCACATCCAGTGCAGCAGCTGCTGGGGGAGAGGGGCCCAGAGGAGCCTCAGAAGCAGCACAGGGCATTGCTGGAGAAGTGGGCTGATGCTTGGATTGCTGAGTAGGTGGAGATCCTTGCTGGGAAAGGCCAGGGCTGGAGCAGTGTGAGGTGATGGTGGCGTGTGCTCAGGCAGGCAGCGCCTGTTGCAGACCTTCAGCCCTGCTCCCTGTGGGTGCAGGGAGGCAGCCAGGAGACCCGGTGGGGCACACCTGGCATCTTCCCTGTTTATAGAGCCACTATCGGTGTCTCGCTGACCCTGGGACTTCAGCCCATACTCCCTGGGCTCCCCAAGCCCCTGTCCAGTCTCCAAGGTGCATTCCATTGGCTCCCTCTCCCCTGCACCAAGGCCAACTCTGCTGTCCTCTAGGACCCCCCCCCATCCCGTTCCCCTTTCTTGTGGGATGCCAGCACTCCCATTCGGGTGCTACTCATAGCGTGAGTGCCTGAGCAGAGCCCCAGGGCATTTCTGGTCCCCGCAATTGGAAGCACATGTGGGCCACGCAGAGTTTCCATGCATGCGGCGCTGTGTGGTTTGCAGCAGCTGGAGCTGGTTGCCCGCCTGAAGCTGCGCAGTTGAGCTCTGCAGGGCCAGGGGTGCTCGCAGGGGAGCTATGCGGGGAGAGGGCAGCTGGGAAGGCAGGGGAGGGGCTGGGTGTGCAGAGCATGGGAGGTGCAGGGCAGCCTTGTAGGGGGCGAGACCCAGTGCTGCTGAGAGGCTTCAGAGGAACAACCTGGCATCCCCCAGCCCCCATCCGAGCCTTGTCCCTCCACCTTGGTGCAAAGAGCTTTTCACTGTGCCATGGGAGGGCTCCTGAGCTATGTGGCGGCAGCTGTCTGTCGGGGCTGGAAGTCGCCCTGTCCTAATGCACACGGGTGGTCCAAAGCAGGGCTCTGCCCAGCTGGAGCTGGTCCTGTGGGCTGTCCCTTCCCACTGCCCTAAAGGAAAGGGACAGAGGCGCTCAGGATGTGTGGGGAGGTGTGTGGGGCCCGAGCAGCTGCTGGGCAGCATGCCATCCCTACACCCATGCCCTGCCTGGCCGCGCTGCAACCCCAGACACACAGCGCTCACTGCTCCCCAGCCCCACACCCAGCTGCCAGATCCTCGCCGCGTACCAGCTCTCACCCC